AAAGCTACATTGGATTTTTTAAAAAATTAGTCAAATCTCCAAATAAACCATTAACTCAAATAGTTAATAGATTATCTGAATTAAAATCTGGAAATCGTTTAAAAATTAAAAATTAAAAAAAAATTATATGTCAAATTGTGTAATAGATGATGGCGCTGGACTATTTACTTATAATGGAAATGATTATAAAATTATATCTTCAATTAAAATGAATAATTCTACTTTGAGATCAGTTCATTCTGATAACACTGTTTTACTAAACAATTCACAAATCTTCGTCATTAAACAAATTATGAAGGAATATAATAGAAACGAAAGTGATCTTATTACAATTGAAGAAATTTTTGTCTTGGGATATGAAATGACTAATCAAAGTGAGGCATTTGGTTATCTACTTTCATCAATACAAATCGGCGTTTTTAGTGGAAATGGATTTATTGCATCGTATAAATTACTATCAATTAAAATGATTAAACACAAATGTGTTTTATTAAACATAGAAAATAAATTACACGCAATTACTCTGCTGCATTTTTAATAAATTTTAAGTGGCAAGGGACATCTAAAAATATGTATATATATAAAATAGAATATATAAAAAAATAAAATATATAAACAAGAAAAAAATATATAGAAATATGTAAAATACAATATAAAATTTAAAGAAAATATATATAAAGTAAATATATCAATAAATAAATATAAAAGTATCAATAAGTGTGTAATATATGTATATGTAAAAGTGATGATGTAAAAAAGTTGCGCCATAACAAACAACGAGGAATGTGGATGTGCTAGTGCTGGGTGTGTATATGTATGTATATATATATATATATAAATATATATATATATATATATAGGGTGATTCAAAATAACCCCTGTGTCCGTGAAATGACACATTGTTAAGTCAATTCTAAGACGATTTTTCTTTTTGCAAAATTTCGAAGCTTAGTTTTCGAATTATTAAAGAAAGTAGTTAACGCATGACGGGTCGGATACAAGAGGCAGGCAAGGGTGACGCGATTCACCGTCAGACGCGGGCGCTTACGCGGTGCGCCTGCTGCGATCAGCTGGTCGCTATACACATACAGACACACATGCGAACACATACATTCTCTCTCTGTCTGCTGTCTGTCTGTCAGTCTCTCTCTCTCTCTCTCTCTCTCTCTCTCTCTCTCTCTCATTCGCTCACTCACCTGTAATTTTTTTTTTACGAGAGAGGGGCAAATGCATTTTATGCACACCGGTCGATCCAGTGAGTTATGTGGGACTCGAGTACTAAGTCGAATTACCAACTCGGTACTCCCTACCCACTAAAAACCCCTCTCTTTTCAGGAATTTTCTTTGACACACTGTCCTTCCCGAGATCCGTTTTCACATAACGTCAAAAAATAGTTATTATTACTTTGTTCGATGACTCCTGATGTATTGCTGTAATTGCTTGAAGGAGAAATGAATTTTCCGATAGATTGTACGTTCTCAAATTTAATGTAGATATCACGTTGCACAAGACAGAAATCCACACTAAATTATTAACTGAAAGTTTTTTTTCTTTCATGAACTGCATTCTTTTATAAACTTTAACATAATCACATTTATTTACTCACTCAACGAGAAATTTACTAATGACTCTATCACTAATCACTATTAATCACTGTCGAATAATAGCTGTTGGCGATTAAAAATCACTCGATAAAAGAAACACGCACGGACACGTTACTACACGCGACGACGCGACAATGTGACGATAATTACTCGGCGACTGCAAGCAGTTTTTTGTTATAGTAGATTGCGGTAGTAATAATATTAATATGTTAAATGTTTTTTATGTTTACCGCATTCTTCAATCGAACACATGATCGCGTTCGATAGCGCCAGTAGTACCTTAACCTACGGCCCCCGACGGCACGTACGCCGAGGTACTGCGCAAAGCGAGGCACGGAGTCGGCGCCGAAAAGTTGGAGAGCCTGGGAATTGAGGACATCCGGGCCCGTCGTGGAATGACGGGCTCGTATGTCCTCGAGATCCCGGGTCCCACGGAGGAGAGGGAGTCCAAGGCGGAGGCCCTTGCTGCGGAAATGCGGAGGGTCTTTGCAGAGGACTCCTCTGTCCGGATAGACAAGCCAACAGCGACGGTACGGATTCGAGGCCTAGACGAGGGCGATGACAATGGAGGAGGTGGTTGTTACCATCGCGGACAGGGGGGTGGCCAGGCTCGAAGAAAATAAGGCCTCCATTAGCAGGCCCACTTACGGGATGGGGATAGCTTGGGTCCGCTGCCCTGTCAGAGCGGCGGATGACCTGGCCAAAGCCGCCCGCATAAGAATAGGGTGAACGACCGCCAGGGTGGAACTGGCAGCGGCGCGTTCCACCTACTGTTTTAGGTGCTGGGGAGAGGGCCACGTGGCTTCCAGGTGCAGGAGTGCCGAGGACAGATCCCGCACCTGTTACAGGTACGGTGGGCCACACGACTGCATCCTGCCAGGCGGTCCCTTACTGCCTGTCGTGCGCGGAGGTGGGGAAGAAGGCGGATCATCGTAGAGGAGGAGTCAGCTGCGGACTTCCATTGAAACGGGCCCCGCCGACTTCCGCTGCACCCTCACGTGGAGGGACAAGGCGGGGGGGGGAGCGGGAGCCAGCGCCCCAACAGCGGCAGCAGTAGCGGCAGCGACAACAGCAGCAGCAGCAACAGCAGCAGCAGCCGCAAGGAATGCCGCGGCTCTTGAGGAGCGGGACAGGAGGGAAGGAGAAGGAAGGAGAGAAGGAGGCGGCGGAGGAGAGGATGGAGAAAGGGGACACTGATAGTCAAAGGTAAGCCAGCGGCCCTATCTATCCTACAAGCCAACTTCAACCACGTCCGCCGTGCGCAGGATCTTTTTCTGCACACAATGGCGGAGCGTGGTTGTGCGTGGGTTGGAGCCACGCGGAGTACGCGGCCCCTTCCGACCACTTGTCCTGGTTTCCGGCGGGGTGCCTGGGAAGAGCTGCCCCGCTGGTAGCCATCGTGCGGGGGGCGACGAAGGGTCGCCCCCTGCAGGATGGAGACCAGGAGTCGGCACGCGATGGTGTGGTGGGGGACCACCTGCGTTATAAGCGTATACCTCCCTCCCTCGCTTGGCCCAGTTTGAGGCCGAGCTCGGCGAGATAGACGAGGCGGTGAGGAGCGGCCTCTCCGGGCCGGTCCTCGTGATGGGCGACTTCAATTCCAAATCTCGGAGTTGGGGTTGCCGGTCCGAGGATCGGCGCGGGGAGACGCTGCGAGATTGGGCGGGATCACTCGGGCTGACCCTGTTCAATGTCGGGTCCGTCGCCACATGCGTGAGACCGCAGGGGAGTCCATCGTCGATTTGACGTGGGCCTCTCCTGCGGCTTTGCGCATAGTGGGGGAGGCCGCTGAACTCGAGGCCCTGTCAGATCACAGGTATATTGAGCTCAGCTTGGTCGCCCGACATCCGCCCACCGAGCCGGACTCACGGGAGGAGCGTAGGTGGTCCCTCACCAGGCTGAACCCGGACCTCTTGATGGCCTCGATGCAGGCCTCGCTATGGGTCTGGAGGAAAGACCCTCTGGCGTGGGAGGGAAAGGGAGTGAAGGAGTTGGCATCGAGGCTTCGCAGTGCTCTCTGGGGAGCCTGCGACGCCTCGATGCCAAAGGTAAGGAGGGGATGCGGGAGGAGATCGGCGCATTGGTGGACCGAGGAGATCGCGAATCTCCGCGATGCTTCGGTCCGGGCCAGACGCCGACTTCAAAGATGTATGCGAAGGAGGAACCGTAGCGAGGCCTGTATTGAGCGGGCGCGGGGAGAGTGTCGGGATGCCCGACGCTCCCTCGGCGCTGCCATCGGGAGGTCCAAGACCAGGGCCTGGGAGGAGCTGCTCGCCTCCCTGAACGAGGACCCGTGGGGGCGCCCGTACAGAATAGTTCTCAAGAAATTGAGGCGGCGGGCGCCTCCGACCACGGAGTCTCTGGCCCCCGGCTTGGGGAGGTAGTGGAGACCCTCTTCCCCGGGAGAGCAGGGGGCGCAGTGCCCTTCCCCCTCTCGGACCGTATGCTCGAGTGGAGGGAGTGCTGGGAGGTAACAGCGGAGGAGATGCGGGATGCTGTCCGGAGGATGAAGCCGAATAAGGCTACCGATCTGGACGGCATCCCGGGTAAGATCTGGGTCCTGGTCATGGGGGAAGCTGGCGGGACCCTGAGGTACCTCTTTACGAGATGCCTCAGGGAGGGGATCTTCCCCTCTCTTTGGAAGGAGGCGAGACTAGTCCTCCTTCCGAAAGGAGGGAGGGACCCCGATGATCCAGCGGCTTACCGACCTCTCTGTCTTTTAGATGAGGTCGGTAAGCTGATGGAGCGGATAATGGTGGAGCGGCTCAACAGGGAGCACCTGCAACAGGTTGCGGGACTCAACGAGTCCCAGGTCGGGTTCCGTACGGCCGGTCGACCATCGACGCGATGGATGGTCTGCGGGCCCGCTCGGAACAGATAGTCCAGCACGGGGGAGTGGCGTTGGCTGTGTCCCTGGACGCTTTTAACACCCTCCCGTGGGACATGATAGGGGCGGGGCTACGAGCGCACGGAGTCCCGGATTACCTGTCAGGGTAATCCAGGACTATTTCATGGGGAGAAGTATCTACTGTCGCGATGCCGAGGGGGTACGTAGGCGGTGGCCCGTCGTGCGCGGTGTTCCACAGGGGTCCGTTCTGGGCCCGTTGCTGTGGAACATCGCGTACAATGAGGTATTGGGGAGGGTCCTTCCCCCGGCTGCCATGTCATCTGTTATGCGGACGACACGCTGGTGGTAGTTGGAGGGAAGGACTGGAGGGACGCGACCGCGTTGGGGAACATCGCGATGGCCGGGGTGGTCCGCGATATAAAGGCGTTGGGCCTGAGGGTAGCTCCCCGGAAGACGGAGGCCGTCTTTTCCATGACGGCTCCCGGGAGCTCCCCCCTCCAGGCTCACATTTAAGGTGGACGGGCACGACGTCCAGGTGGGGACCCGGATGAAGTATCTGGGTCTCCATCTGGACAGAAAATGGACCTTCGAGGAGCACTTTGCCCAGGTGGCCCCCAGGATAGGCGGAATAGCGTCCTCGCTGGCGAGGCTGCTGCCCAACCTGGGGGGGCCGGACGGCCGTATCCGCAAGCTTTATGTGGACACGGTCAGATCGGTGGTTCTTTACGGCACCGATCTGGGCGGGTGCTGCCTCGGGGTCCAACAAGATCAGGGGCGTACTGATATGGGGGGCACACCGCCCCATAGTTTTAAGAACCGCGCGGTCGCATATGCGGCGGTGATGGTGCTGGCGGGGTCCCCTCCCCTGGAGCTCCTGGCCTAAGCCCGGGCCGAGATGTACTGGGGGATTAGAGAGCTCCGGAGGGGGGAATTATGGTGGGGCCGGGGACCAAGAGGGCCATCAGGTTGAAGGCGGCAGACTCGGTCCTCGTGGACTGGCAGCGGCAACTGGCCGTGGTTATCGGGCACGGGTGCTTCGGTCACTACCTGTGCCACATCGGGAGGGAACCAACCCCCAGGTGCCACCACTGCGAGGAGGACCGGGACACGGCGCAGCACACCCTCGAAGCCTGCTCGGTCTGGGAGGTGCAGCGCCGTGCCCTGGTCGCAGTGGTGAGAGCTGACCTCTCTCCCTCGGCGCCATCATTGAGGCGATGCTAAGGGGGGAGGAGGAATGGCGGGCAGTGGCCTCCTTTTGTGAGGTCATGCGGAGCAAGGAGGAGGCGGAGAGGGATCGGCGAATGATGTCCGCCCCAATGGCAGCACAGAGAAGAGCAGCGGCCAGGAGGACCCGACGGAGGAGGAGGAGCCTGATTGGGCCTCCGGTCCCACCGCTGGACAGGGACTGAATGAGAGGAGGGGCCTTGTCAAAACCCACTCTTCCCTTCACTGCAGGCTTGGCGGACAGAGAGTGAGAGGAAAGTTCCCCCCTCCCTCCCCCCACCACGGCATAAAAAGAGGCCCCGTTCAGGGGCCGCGGCGAGGGGGCCCCGGTGTGGAGCGGGGAGATCTCCCACCGGGACAGAACCCTATTAGACGGAGCCGGGAGGCGGACGGGTGTCCTCCCTCCCAGCTACAGTGGAGGAATGGCGGTGGGGGGATCGCGGAAGAATGCCCTTGGCGTGCCCGTGGCCCCCCCCGTGACACCGCGGTGGAGGACACCCGCAGGAGTTTTAGTCGGTGCGAGTCCGACATAACCCCTTTCCTTCCCCGAGGAGAGGGGTATGCATAAGGCATTTCTCCTGCGTATCAAAAAAAAAAGAGAGAGAATGTATGTGTTCGCATGGTGTGTCTGTATGTGTATAGCGACCAGCTGATCGCAGCAGGCGCCCCGCGTAAGCGCCCGGTCTGACAGTGAATCGCGTCATCCCTTGCCTGCCTCTTGTATCCGACCCGTCATGCATTAACTACTTTCTCTTTAATAATTCGAAAACTAAGCTTCGGACGAAATTTTGCAAAGGAAAAAATCGTCTTAGAATTGACTCAACAATGTGTCATTTCACGGACACAGGGGTTATTTTGAATCATCCCTGTATATATATATCCCTGTATATATATATATATAT